AATGTCATAATGGTTACAATAATGATACAATAATGGTAATGTTACAATCGCTAAATAGAGCGAGAGTCTCTATATGCATTATGCGTAGGCGTTTAGGCTGCATCTAGGCATTTCAAGGAAATTATTCTTCCACCCCTAAGATCTTTTCCCCTCTCATGTCCATGGCGTATTATGAGACCCTTGTGTGCATGTTCCAGTATGTAACATTCACATTATTAGTATTATCGTAATGGACCACGGCTGCTCGAAATTACCTCCTCGAAACTGCCAAGCAGATATGTGTAAATATTAGGTTGGAAAAAAGTACTGTCAGTGTTTTTTGGTAAGCTTGCAGTTTTTGAGTATTGATGCTCGAACATGACGTAACATGCTACGTCTGCTCTTCCCTGGGTTTAATTATGTTAGTTACACAGGAGTATCTTCGGGTCATCATCTTCTATCAGTGGCCCCGCGGCACTGGAGCCACGGCAGCTGTCCGCAACATCAACAGTGCATTGGCGGAGGACACCACTACCATCATGACCGTCCATCTCTGGTTCGCTCGCTTCGCGAAAGAGACACGATGATCGAAGAAAAACCTCGGCTTGGGACAGCCCCACGGAAGGGAAGACTCCACCATTCTCGAAGCAGTCAAGGAGGACCCGGAGGCTACCACCCGCAGTCTTGCGACAAGACTCGGATGTACCTAACTGACAGTCGTCAACCGCCTGTAAGCCCTTGACTACCAAAAGTACTGGCTCGATGGATCACTCATACCTTGACCGATGGCACGCTGCGCACCCGGGTACCCCTTGGTCAGTCTCCCCTTCTCCGCCCTCGTCAAAAGGAGTTTCTAGGAGACTGCTTATTGGAGATGATAGATGGGTCCTCTGTGATTTCCCACACACTACCGTGTGTCTCTCTCGAAGGAGAAAATCCATTCTAGCAGTCCAAACCGGGCATGTATTCCGAAAAGGTTCTCCTGTGCTGCTCCTGGGACGCGAGGAGGTGCTGCTGAACGAGCTGCCCCATAAGAACAGACGGTCACCGCCACCATTTGTGTCGCTCAGCTCCCGAAACGAGTGAAAATTGTTGGAGAAAAATGACCGAGACTAGCTTCGGGTCACCTCGTTCGTAGTACACGAGACCCCATACCTGCTATGAAGACCTACCAAATAATTGAGGAGCAAGGCTGGGAGACCAGTCCCCGCTCATATATTCTCCTGACGTAGTCCCCTACGACTGCTACCTGCTCCGCCTCCTTAAGGCTTTCTTAGCTAAGAAAACTTTCAGCAACTTTGATGACATCAGTCAAGAAGTCGCCGACTTCTTCGATTTGCGGCCTTCTCAGTTCTACGAAAAGGGATCGCTAAACTGCCGATTAGATGGAGCGCAGTAGTGGCTAACAATGACGAGTCCATGTTGATTAATTCTAATTGTATGTTGAGTTAGAAAATAAAAAAGAAAAAAGTCACAACAGTGACACGACTTTCTTTACAAACTACTAGTTTGAAAAACTACAGGGGCATCGTGATTTTTTTCTTTTCTATTTTCTAAC